ATATTACATATGTAAAATTGATAAAAAATACAAAAGTTATTAACTTTTAAAATATATATACAATTCAATAGTTATAATAAGGAATGATATTAAAATACAATTAATACATCAACATGGCCATAAATAATCAACATATTTATGGTAATCCGAACCTAATTTTTTTTGGTTTGGAATTAAATTAAAATTTATCCAAGCCTAATAACGAAGCATGTAATTTTGCCATATAGGATTCCGAAGCACCAGAAGCAGCCACGTAGGCTCAGCGCATTCTGTATTAATATACAGGGGGGATATTGATAATATTTATTATAGTTGGGTTGAGTTAAAGTTGTGTTAAAAAAAAGTGGTTGAATTAAAATGTTGGAAATTTTTGAAATATTTTGTATACAAACATATTCTTTGTATTTCAATTATAGCATGCAAAAAACTCACACACAAACCCCATTTATTAATGCTTGCCACATACACTCATATACAAAAATTGTACGTTGACACTACAACCGTTCATTTACGAAGATCAGTATAAAACGAACTGCTCCTCTTTGGGATCCTGTTCAATACATAAAAGTACTAGTGCAACTAATCAGTCAAGACAAACTGTACGGTTGACACTATAACCGTTCTGATGGGATGTTCATGTCCATCTAGGTTGTGAACCATTAATTCTTGTTTCGCGAGTAACTGATAGTATGATCTTCGGTTCGCCCAATGACGACCCATACTATCTAATGCAAAACCACAGAACATAGAATTTGTTTAATCTAACATGTTTCTCATTCATAAAGGGTAAAAGTGTAATATCATCCGAAGTCAGGCTTTCAGTATATAATACTAACAGTGTCGTTGTTGCAGAAGACCTCCGAGTCCGACCCAATTCACCTGAGGACTCGAACCATTACCACGAAGGTTCCAGAGGCTGAGGTGCACGTGTACAAGCAAGGGAAGGGCCGATCGAAGTCATCAAAACGGTCCTGGCTGGGTGGGACCAAGACCAACTCGAGGTGCGCGAGATCCTGGAAAAATATGAATTTAAATCGATCTTCGCGTTCGCGCCCAAATTGGGTCGGGGCTTGCCGATCTGGTTCCACCCGAGGAATGGCCGATCGCTGCTCACTTACAAGGACGGGTCGTTATTATATTGATGGGGAGCTCAGTGTAAAATTCAGAAAGAATATTGATACTTTGTACTTGTTTTGTTGCATTATTTAGAAATAAAGAAATATGATTCGAAATTGGTAAAAGTTTGGGTGTGGGATGAATAGATTAATTTGAATTTGAATCAGTTTCAGAGGACTAATTCACCGGTTTTTGTATTGAATACGACCCTTTTATGTTTAAGTTTCTACGTTGTGTGTGTTGGCTTCATATACTATTAATATGCTGTTAAAATAGAAATATACTCTTAATAAACTAGAAATATACTGCTAATAAAACGTGAAAGATATAGTGTTAATAAAACATGAAATATGTCTTTTTAAACCAAAAATATACTGTTAATAAATTAAAAATAAACTAGAAATATTTATGGTTGACCTGTCTCATTTTTTTCCTTATAAAATTTCATGTCCTCGTTATTTTTTTGGTATATTTTTGTGTATAGTTCCAGTAAATAAAAAAAGAAAACATAATTTCTTTATGGAAGACATGTTTTTCATTACAACATATATTGAATATATACTAACATAAATGTAACATATACCTACCTGGACAGCTACGCTAATTACAATACATGTGTTTTATCTCTCTCTTTTAAAAATGTAGAAGTTGCGCGAATATTAAGGAGAATTACTAAATGACATAAAAAGGGGATGAAAGTTTCATTTCTCTTTCTTAATCAAAGACACAGAAAGGGAGATGAGATGGAAGTTAAAAGAATATAGTAACTGACTTTAGGTAGATATGTAATTATTTGTTTGTAGGTTCCATTTTTGCAATTTTTTTATAATCTTGTAGGATGGATGAAAATTTCCCTATTCAATATCGTGCAAAGGATAGCTCTCATTTGCAGGCTTTAAACGAGCTCAATAGGCCCACGAAACTCATTCGGCCCAACCCACTCCACTTTCCCATCGGTCAAAATCTCCGCCTTACTCATTCTTCTCTCTGCATTCCCCAACCAAAAACCTCTCTCAAGATCAAGATCAAGATCAAGATCAAAATCCAAGAAATGGCCTTGGAGTGGGTAGTTCTAGGCTACGCCGCCGGCGCCGAAGCCATCATGCTCCTCTTCCTGACACTGCCGGGCCTCGACCCGATCCGGAAGGGCCTCATCACTGTGACCCGGAGCCTCCTCAAACCCTTCCTCTCCGTGGTCCCCTTCTGCCTCTTCCTGCTCATGGATATCTACTGGAAGTACGAGACCCGACCCAGCTGCGACTCCGACTCCTGCTCCCCCTCCGAGCACCTCCGCCACCAGAAGTCCATCATGAAGTCGCAGCGAAACGCGCTCCTCATCGCCTCCGCCCTCGTATTTTACTGGCTCCTCTACTCCGTCACAGGCCTCGTCGTCAAGATCGATCAGCTCAACAAACGGATCGAGAAGCTCAAGGAGCAGTGATTTGATCTGCGACGACCCTGGCTCTTCCCCGTCGGTATTTGAGCAGTAATTTCCCTTTTCGTTTTTAGGTGTGTTTTTCATGATTTTATGTTCTAATAACTGTTGCTTGGGTTCTGTTATTTCGACCTTGGATGTCATGTATGGTGCTTGTATGCCTTTGAAGTTAACAATTAGTATAATTTGCTTAGTTATTTTGAGAAGTTCCTTTCTGTTGTTTTATTTTATGGTACTGATAAGTTTCGTATTTTCTTGGTTTCTATTTCTAATGTTTAAATGACATGAAGAACAGGTTTTTAGCAGTATATTTGCTTGCTTTTCTGCCTTGATCTGAAAGAGCATTTTAACGTCTCTTTGGATTGTGTTTTCACAATATGTTGATATTAAGTATGTCCTGGCCTTCTTGTTTTTTCGATTATTGCTGGCATTTTCTGCCTTGATTAAGAAGAGCATTCTTGTGTATGGTGGTTATTTTGTTGAACCATAGCCCGAGACTGTGAAGTACCTGCTAGATGTGTATACACTTTGCTTATACTAAGCCTGAAAGATTTTTGACACTTACAAATGCATTGGAACTGAATCGTGAAACTTATGTAGGATGTGTGCAATATTAATTACCAGAGTAAGACATTCTATAATACAAGTGTATTATAATAATGAATGTCTTGTTTAAAAACTTTTAATCTTTGAAAGTCTTCTTGTTTTGTTTTTCTCACTCTGTCGAAAAAGGGAAATGCGGTTTGTAATAACCAATAACATTCCCTCTTGGTGGGGTTGTGTTAACATGTTTGTGTGCCTCAGTTTTGCTGTAGGGTATAATTGCTTGATATAGAGAGTTTGAAACAATATGATTTTGGATGAAGTGAAGTTATTTGGAAGATTGCTTTGCAATATGCACTTAAATATGTAGTCTTGTTTATTTTCATTTGTTTTTCCTAACTGATCCATGCCCTCGACTCAAGTCCAGGCCATGAGCAAATCACCTTGTTCGCCTTTCGCCTTTAGTAACTATGAATGTGTGAGATTAAGTAGAACAGGTTTTATTGTGGTGTAGTATGCAATGAATGTGCCGAAAACAAATTGAATATGGTGCGAACACGACTTTATCTTTGGAATAAGAGAAGTGCCACTGTAGTTAAAAATATGAAGATTATGTGCTGAAATTAAAAAGAGGGGATGATCTTGAGAAACTACCTTTTTTCGTGTAATAGCAAATTTTATGGCCTGAAGGGACCGAATTTGCCGACATGTGTTCCTCTTAAGTTCAGAATAGCCTCCGTCCTTTGTATTCAGCACAAAAGCTTCAAGCTTTTCTCAATCATATGTTGCTCCTCAAAGTAGTATTTTTCAGCACAAAAGAGATAAACTAGTGAGCAATAGCCCGACTGTAAGTTTGTCACCGTTTTTCCCAATCATGTTTTGGCATTTTTGCTTTTGTTATTTTCGTGTTGGCTCCTAATTGAATGGATGGTAAATTTACCTCTGAGATGATTGCATAACTGCTCTAGCATTTGTATTCCGTGCTAGCATTTGTATTCCGTGCTAGATCATAATCGTTTTTTTTTTTTAGACAAAAAGCAATCGGGTACTACACAAAAGCAATACCCTATTGAACCAAATATGGCTATCCTAACAAAAAAAAAAAAAAACTACAAGTCAGTAGCATATGTACATAATACAAAAGAGCGCTGATATTGTATAATATCCTCCAATATTCCTGACCAGGCAGACTGAGTTTCTTTTGCAGCTGGAGAAAAACATCTTCATCGGGTATAATGCAATGGATCTCCTTCCACTTCCTTTTGACAACCTCTACCAAAGCAGCTCGCACTGTCATCAGATAAGCCACTTTGATATCCACTTTGATATCTTCTGCCCAGTCGTCCCGTTGAATCCATTCCTCAGCTTCCTTAGCCTCCATCTGAGCACAATATTTGATCTTCACTTTTCCTCCAGTAGACATAGGCACTGACTCGTAAAATCACAAGTCATACCCTCTTGGAAAATTGTCTCCCTTTGTACTCAGTGTAAGACTCCTCTGTTAAGCTATCTTGATCCCAGGAGGTTTACTTCAACATTTCCATCCAATCCTTCTTTGCACCTTTCACATTTTTCTCTTCTTCAAAGGGCTCATTTATGAAAATCTTGTTGTTTCTAGCCTTCCAGATTCTCCACATACGACATAATGAGAGTAGTATTCTGTCCTTCATCTGTCTGAACTGACGGCTACAACAAACATCCTCCCACCAGTCTTTTATCAGTTTATGTTCCTCCTCAAAGCTGTCCATTCTATACGAATGAGTTTCCAACAGGCTTTGGCTTCGCAGCATTTGTGAAAACAATGCTCAATGTCTTCATGATCTTCTCCAAAAGAATTGCAAATAGTATCTACCTTTACACCTCTCCTAGCCAGTTGCATTTTAGTCCCTAGGAACCCATGATACACTCTCCACCAGAAATTCTTTACCTTTGGCTGTAATGACAATTTCCAGGTATTGAGCCACATCTTCTTCGTCAACATATTTCTGCTGCTGGTACTTGCGGGATTACTCAGCCCTGTCTTATACAAAATTATGCCGTCATAAACAGACTTCACGGTGAAAATACCTCTAGAACCAAAGTGCCAAACCAAGTTATCTTTTTTTTTTTTTTCTGCAGATGGCTTAATGGGATTTCAAGATAGATTCAACCTCAAAGGGGCTAAAAGATTGTTCAATAATAACC